GGGCTTCTCCTTGCTTGTGGCAGACACTGCCTCTGACTCATTTTTACACTCAAGCTTTCCAGCGGGATTGTCATGATGGAGACAGATATGGAAGTCTGTAGCTTTTCTCTGACAGGTTCTGTTAAAAGGTTTTTTAGTCTAAGTTTAGTATTTTGAGAGTGTTGGGTTTGTATGGCAGCTGTGGAGCTGCAGTGCAATAGGACAAGAACATTTTAACTATTTTTTGTCTGAACCTCCCAGGACTTGTAGAAAAGTGCTTGCTAGATTGATCATCTGCTGATCAGGCAAATAACTGACCAGTATCTTCCACTGTTTGTGTAAGTTTAGATAGGTTAAAAACCAAAATGTAATTAATGTATGAAATGCTGCAGGGATTACCTGTGTGCCTGTTTACCTCTATGGTTTACACTCCATGTACTCCATTACAGGTGAAAGGACATAAATAAGAGTTCCACTTGATTATAAATGTGAGTTTCTGTGAAGTGTTCTCTGAACATTTTTGACATTGATGGTTTGGGACATAAAAATTCTATGTGGAAATTCCTCGGTTTCCACATTAAGCCCTACTCTCAATTTCCCAATGCCTGCAAATGCCAAGCTTATTGGTTATCATGTTACAGTTTTTTCTAGGAATCTGGATGTAGGAAAGCTTATTGGGATTTCTTTGTTGTTTTTTCCTGCAATATTGTGTTGTTTTTTTCAGCCTACTGTTAGTAAATAGTGCCAAGGCTTTAAGTTCTTGGTGGGCTTTTAGAATAAAGACCGGGAACAAAATGGGTTTAGATTTTTAACATTCAAATCATTCTTTTTTTCCTTAAGCTTCTGGAAGTTTTGATCTCCTTGACAACACTGACATCCATCTGCACTTCCCAGCTGGAGCTGTCACAAAAGATGGACCATCTGCTGGTGTTACCATAGTAACCTGCCTTGCTTCGCTCTTCAGTGGGCGGCTGGTGTGCTCAGATGTAGCCATGACAGGAGAAATTACACTGAGAGGCCTTGTTCTTCCAGTAAGCATCACTGGAGAAAAGAGCTAAGTTCTATTCATGCTCCCTATTTTGGGTATAAAATCTGTTTATAGCCACTGAGAAAAGCGTGGATCCAGAGCCTTGCTGGATCATTCCTTAGCAGCAATGTGGTCTCTGCTGGTGCAGTTGGAGGAGGCCAGGCTGCTGCAGGACTGCCCCACTCCTCTGCTTTGCCTTTCAAGCTGAAGCCAACCTTGGTGTGGCTTTTTGGGAAAATACATTAAATGTCTACTCAGAAAGGAGACCCCAAAGTCTTAACATGCAAGGTGGCTCTGAGCCTGCAGTGCAGTTTCTAAATGTGCTTCCTCAGACTGTTGGTTCTGGTGTCTTTGGAAAGCTGTGACTTAGCGCTCTCACAGTGACTGCATACAGGTTACTCCTGAATCCATGGAGCTGCTTTTAGGTTTCTCTTGAATGTTGACCCTTGGCTGTAGCTGAGCCAGATGGGGTTTCCATAAAGCTTTGTCAAAGCATGAAGGCAAAGAAGGCGTTCAGACAAACAGAGTTTAGTTCAAAGTGTCAGTGGGGCCAAAGTTATCTCATGCCAAATGATGGAGAGGAGGAGGATGAAGCTGGAAATCAGGGGCAGGATTTTGTTTCCTGCAGAGGAGACAGAAGCAGAGGTGCCATGGCAGGCAGTGGGGGCAGAGAGTGACAGGACAGGCCATTGTCCAGGGGGCTGGAGCACCCTGCAGGGACAGTGGGAGCCAGCTCAGCCCTGCAGCCACGCTGTCCTGACCGTGCCTGCTGCTAAAGCTGTGTGCAGAGCTAAGGGACCTGTAAATATTAACCCACATTCTCCTCCTTCCCCAAGGCAGTCTGGAGTCTTGCTGTTCCCAGTGCCTGAGGTGCCAGGGCTGTGCCAGGGGCTGCCCTTGCCGCTGGGTGTGCAGCAGGGCCCGGAGCTCCGGGGTCACGTGAGGATCACGGGTCGCCTCTGCCCTTTGTACTGCAATACAGGCCCTTCCTCTCTCTAAAGCCATGTAAAATTACACGTTTCTCCTCTAAGATGGTCTTTAGGAATAGGAAGGAGTTTGGGGGAAAAAGCTACAGCTGTAAGAAAAATGTAATTTAACCCCTGTTTGCATCTCATTAGCAACTCAACCAGGAGGCTCAGTGGAGCCTCTCCACTCCTGAACACAGGTTTGCTTTGCTGTGCATATTTTGTTGTACAGCTCAAGTTATTTTTCATGGGACATTGCTGCCTTAGAACTCTTTTTCCCCTAAATCTAACACTGCCTTTATCTGAAAAACCTTCTGTTCTAATGAAGGTGCTGGATTTCAGCACGTGATATTAAAAAAAAACAGAGTGAAGGCCATTTTTGTTATAGAAATTCCTGAAAAGCAATATTGATTCTCTTGTACTTCACTCCTCAATGTATTTTTCTCTGGTTATTAGCTGTTACAGAAAGAATACTGTAGCATATTAACATATTTCCCTCATTAAGCACATGATGAGCTACAACTCTGCCTGCATTTTTAATTGACTGAGGGAGGCAGAACCTTTCCTCAAAATTTAACTCCTGATGTGATGCTACAATAATGATTTTATTCGATTCGTTCAGTTTTTATACATGTGTCTCTTCTCCCCCTTAGGTTGGGGGCATTAAAGACAAAGTGCTGGCCGCACACCGCGCTGGCCTGAAGAGAATCATCCTCCCGCAGAGGAACGAGAAGGACCTGGAGGAGATCGCGGCGCCCGTGCGGCGGGAGCTGAGCTTCGTGCTGGCCTCGTGCCTGGACCAGGTGCTCAACGCCGCCTTCGACGGCGGCTTCGCGGCCAAGGCCAGCCTGGAGCACCTCAACTCCAAGCTCTAGGCAGCAGCCTGGGGGCACCTCTCTCTCCAGTTCCACAGTCCTTGATCTCTTTCAGCTACGTTTAGGTATCAGGTACAACTATGAGCTAAATGGCTTTGAATGGGGGTGTCAGTGCCATCCAAAGGAAGATGCTGCTGCAGTTATGAACCTGGAATTGCACTTGAGGAGCATTTGCTGCTTTTTATCAGCAAAGAATCTTGAATCTCATTTCCTGATGGATTTGAGCATGAGAAAGAATTCCTTAGCCTGTCTGGCACCTAGGTGTGTACATGGCAGCAGCTGGTCACATCCTGAAAGAGGGAATAATGTGCAGCAGGAGGGGTTGTTACAAAAAGCAAACTGATTTAGTGCAGGTTTACTTATTTACAAAATATCTGTAATAATAATGAATAATGATGTGCTAAGGAGCAGCAGTATCTGGGGAAAATAAGGTTTTTTGAAATCTAAAAAAATATGCTTAACGCATCTGAAGAGAAGCACTGTGGCCTAATAAATGAAGTTAGGAAGTTCTTTTAGCACTTGGTTCTAGTTTGTTCTATTTTTCAAATGCAGGAAGCAATGCCAGAACTGAAGTGTAGGAATTGTTGTGTAGGAAGGGAGAGAACACATCAGCTCCATCTGCACAGCTGTCCCTGCAGCAGCAGCAGCAGCAGGGGGTGGAGTGTGCAGGAGGCCTTAATGAAAACCCAGGAATGTTCTGGAGGGGCACAGTGCATGTCCTTCATTCCTACCCACCACAAACCCACGTGGTTCTGGGCTGCCCATGCTTGGAGGTTCACCTATGGAAATTAAATCCATTTGAACAATGCCAAGAAAATTCTGAATCTTTATTCATTGTGAGTAATGTAAGGTTCAAGAAGTCTGTCAGCCTCCCTGTCCTGTGATAGCTTTGTCTCTTGTCTCCCCTTGAGCCTCAGTGAGGACTGTGCTTCAGTCAGTGATTCTTAATTCCAGGGGCAGCCCCACAAGCAAATCCTGGGTGTTGTTACATCCTTCTCTTGCTCACTGGTTCTGAAACAACCCCCAAAGTGCTTATGAAACACAAGCTGTACCAGTCACAACAGCCTATTCTAGAAGCTGCCTAAAAATCAAAAGTAAAGAGTTTGCTTTGCTTTCATTTTTGTAGATAACAAAGCTGATTTACCTGGAATAGAACAGCACTGATTGAAATCAATTCAGTGGGAATTTCAACACCTATTTTACAAAAGATTTTACAACTTTGACAAAAGACCTAATCTAATAAAATGATAAAAATAAAACCTGCTTCTGTGTCAGTATTTTAAGAGCTCCACTCTTAATCACTCACAAGTATGTTCTGAGACTACAGCCAACAGCCCCAGCCTCAGAACATGTTCTGCCTCATGAGAAATGTGCAGGGAAGAAGTGCAAAGACATTTTCCACTGGGTAAAACCCCAGCCTGGTAACTGTGCTGCTGCTTTGTTTTTGATCAAACCAGGAGGGAAAAATCCTTTACCAAACAGATGGAGAAGCAATCCTGCACTGCTCTGCACTGTGAGAGCAATGACATGCTTGGAATTCCAGCACAGTCTGTTTACACACGGACAAAACAAATCTGCATTTTTTTAGAAGAGAATAAGGACAACAAAAAAAAAGTTTCCAGCATGGTCAACAGGGAGCTGCTCCCCAGAAAGTTAAAGGATGACTTTCTGTCTGACACATCACCCCAGTTCCCAAGGCTCATCCCCACGGCCTCCACCTGAAGGTGAGGGGTGTAATGGCACCCTGAGGACAATGCCAGGCACTCAGTGCCAGCTCTTGCTGTCCCTGCTGCCGGAGCTGGGCAGGTTCTGTGGCTGAGCTGAGATTCCTGTGAGCCAACATAGGCATGAGCCACTACAGAGCCACTGCAGCCACACTTTGGTGCCTTTTGTGTTGTCTCCAGTGAGCACAGCAATGCCGTGCAGCAGGGAGCCAATACCCTGGGGAGTGTCTGCTTAGGAACAGTTCCATGGAGCAGAGATTCAACCTGTGTCCCTCAGAAACATACCCCAAACAGCTGAAGCTTATCAAAGCCCTTTCCTCTGTCCACACTGTAAACTGCTACAGACAGTAACTGTCCCACTGGAACGCTTCCTGCTTTAATCACAGCAGCTTGGAAAAGATTCTGGGTAAAACAACAGGACAGGCAGCAATACAAAACCATTCACCTGCTTTAATTTTAAACCACTACTGCAAACAAGAACTAGCAGGAACTGTCACAACAGAATCAAAATATTTACATCCACATTTGTCAAACATTTTAAGGCCTTTTTTTTCCAAAAGGGCAATGAAAAACCATGGAGGTAGTGCTAGCAGACAAATGCAAGATTTACTGGTTTTCATCTTTTAGAGACAAATTTGAATACTCCTCCCAATACAGCAAAGTAAAACAGCACTTTCTAAAATAAACAGCTAATGTTAAGACAATGCCAGGCTTTAATACACCATTTATTTTAGATAACGTAGTAAACTGTACAGACTTGTAGTACGGTTTCTTTTTTTCATATATAACAGTGTAGTTGACTTACCAGATCCTCACTCTTTAGGCTTTTAATACTGTTGAGGATCTGGGCCCAAGGGTGATTTCATAATTCCATCTGATGATGGATATTAAAGGTTTTACACAATTATTTAACACCAAATGGAGCAATACTAATTTACATTACAGTAAGTCAGCATACAGTAGTTATGCTATAGCTCTTGTCCTGTGTGAAACATGAACAAACCTGTTTGAGCACAGCTTCTGAAGCCATTCCTGAAGGGCCCTGCCAGGACACAGCCCTGACCTTCAGCCCCCGGGGGCTCAGTGAAAGCCCAGCAGCTCAGCACAGGGCTCAGGGCTGACACAGCCCCAGCTCAGCACTGACCAGCCCTGCACAGCCCTCTCAGGCCCACACTCACTCCCCACCACGGTCCCTCAGCACAGCCAGGCAGGCACCAGGCAGGCAAGGGAGATAGATGGGGGCTCCTCTAAAGAGTATTTAGCCAACGTTCTGCTAAAGACACACTGGAGGTAAATACAGACAAGCTTAATTAGGTGAGAATAATGACTGAATTTAGAAAACTGCAAACAGTTGGCTGTATATTCAAAAAGGAAAAAAAATGCTAGATTGCAGGAGTTTTGGAAGCATTTATCTACTGTCACAAGGTACCAGTACATCTCTTAAATTACATCTGTGCACAGTTCAAACAGTCTTAAGTATCAAATTTTCAGAGTGAAACCTTACTACATGAAGCCAACTATTTCTGTAGTATTTTATTAATCCAACCCAATGGATTTTATGTTCCTTACCTGTAGAACTACTTACCTCATCATGCATCAAAAACAGTAAGAACAAGAGTTGTCCTAACAGATCAACTTCTGATAAGAAAGTTAAGCCAGTGCACAGTCAATAAACTGTATTTTAATGTGTTCCAAAAGTAGCCAACAGCCAGACCAGCTCCCCGCCACCTCTTGCTCTGACAAAGGTTCCTTCCTGCTGAGGTGGAACAGCTTTCCCTGCTCCTGTCTGGGTCTGCTTTGTAACACAAATCCCATTTACATTCGTGGTTCAGGTTTGCACATACAGGCAGTCTGCATAAAGCCCAGTATCCTTCCAAAGCCTTTAGGGCTGGTCAGTCACACCTGGAAGAGATTTATCTGCATTGTCATGTGGATCATGTCACCAAAATGAGATACAAAAGTCAGTTCCAGACAGTTGCTTTAGTAACAACCAAAAGACATGAAGACAAGAAACTGAGCAAGAGCATCAATGTGTCAAACTTTGAGCTAAAGCAAAAAGCAGAAGTTGGCTGTGTTTTTTTTTTTCATTTGCCAGGTAATCTTTTAATGACAAATATAAAAAGACTGAAAACATCTCACTCTGACTGCCTTTTTTTTTAGACAAATGGTCTGCTTTTATCATTACAACAGTGTGTAATACAGCACTTCCTTTGTACTGCAAACCAGCAAATACAAGGATGCAATCAATTTTCTAACCATCTCTAAATTTGAAATGTGAATTGCTTTTTTTTTTCAAATTCGGAAAGTTCTTAATAATTGTTTCATTTTTGTTAGAAGATAACTCAAAGTACAACAACATCTAGACCTGTTTTTAAAGGAGCTGTCTTTCCTGACACATCTTTGAACATAAGCACTCCTTTCGAGTTCAGTACATTCACAAATAGCTCAATTAAGAACAGTATCACCAATGAATTGACTACTGGAAAGAGACAAAATTTACCAAACATACAGAAATATAAGTTTTACCATAGCAATTATGCATATCAAAAGATGACACCTGTAATTAATCTTAAAAAGATACAAAAAAGAGAAAAACCTGAATTACAGAAAAGAAAGTCATATTTATTTAATGAAAAACTAGAAGTTAATAAAAATTAGCAAATACACAAAAAATATACACAAACAGCAGCAATACTATGTAGTGACTTACAAAGGGGGGGTGGGGAGGAGGAGGGGAAGCAGCGGCCAGGACCAGACCGCTCAACATGGCTTGTCAGTCAAAGGGGAGGAAAAAAACACAAACAAAAACACGAAACAGTATCCTTTTCAACAGTACAATCAATCTACAAACAAGTTTTAGAATTATTTTACAACATTTCCTGTAGAATCAATTCTTAATACAAAAGATGCCCATTTTGGGTGTATATATATTTTCAGTGGTTTACTGTTGACTTATTTTAAATATATTAGTTACTACATGCAACTGCTTCCTGTAATTTAACAGCCTTTCCTTTTATTTACCTTCATTTATGTCTACCCTCCATCTACCAAATAATTTGTCTGACAGTCAAAGATGGTTACCCTATTTCTGCTAAATTAAATGCAACGGTTTTAAACACTGGCCTGAAGAGGTTTGATTGCCATTTCAACACATGGATATAGTTACGTTGATGCCTAAATTGCCATTTTCTGCAAAGAGCTGTGCAATGCTGGTGTCAAAGACTAGACAGTCACTATTCATAATGGCTGTTGCAATGCCCTCATGAATGGATCGAGGAGTTGCTTCCCAAGTCAATCGCCGCCTATGCCCGTTTAGCTCGAGTCGATAAGCAAAGTTTTCCGCTTGCTTGCGCGTTCCTATCAGCTGTACAATTGCAAAGAACTGCTGGTGACCATCATACTTTTCCTGTTTCTCCAACACTAGCATGAAATGAAAGCCAAAACAAGACTGCATCATAACCCAGTCAACAGCACCAGGAAGATTAATGTCCGTGGCCAGGAACACTATATCTTCTCCCTGCAGCGTCGTAATTGACTTGTGCTGATGCATCAGGTGCGGCATTACAGCATCCAGAGAGCCTTGCCATTTACACGAAGCACCGGGACAGGGACAGGAGTAAGGCCTAAACTCACACAGCTCCTCGTGGTCTGCTTTTTCCGTGTGCGGCAAAGTTATCTCGCAGCCGGAAGAGGCGTATTTACACGGGAATAGTACGGAATTGGCAACTTTCTCCATGGCCAGGTTCCGGATGGAGCCCAGCGGGCCGCGGCAGGTGGGGCAGCACGTGAGCTTGGGCCGACAGTTGCTACAGACCAGGTGGCCGCTCTGACACTGCAGGATGGGTGGCAGCACATAGTCAAAGCACACGGGACACTCAAAGAGACTGGCCAAGTCATTGTTGGAGGCGGTGGTGCCCGTCAGCGCGGGCACCCTCTGCGATGGCGTGCACTTGGAGGTACCTGTGGGCAGGGCTGTAGCGGTCTGACGGCTCATTTCTGCAACAGAGCACACAGCACAGTTCAGATCTCACCGCGCTTCACTGCCCTGCACACAGCATTTCCTCACTCACAAAGCTTCCAGAGACAGTGAGATACCAATGAAAGCAAGCCCCTCCCAGGTACTGCAAACTGCACACTGTATGTGTAGGTCAGCTGTGCACATACGGCACAGACACTCCCGTGACATCTAAACAACAAGTGAAGAAGTTCTGCTCATTGCTCCAAAGTGGCATTTACCTACTGGAAGCTGCAAGGGAGGGGAGTAAAAACATGCTAAAAATAAGATGCTTGTTATTGTTGGTTTGTTTTTTTAATATTGCATTCATGAAATGCTTCACCCAGATCACTTGTACGTATCAACTCTTTGTATGGAACAATTCTAAGCTGTTGTGTATGAGAAATGAGGCATTTTTAATGGAAAAATCCTATCTTCTGCATGTGACCTTCTCAGTAACCATGCTTACAGTGTAATTCAATTTTTTAAAAGTTGAAAAACACAGCTCAGACAATTACTACCCTACTTTTTTCCCAGGATAGGACAGTGACTCTTCATTTTCATTACTTTGCCACTGAGGCCCACAGCTTGTAAAGCACAGTCACTGCTTCATCTTCCTTTACTAAACCATTTGGGAGGATACCAGAAAAAAAAAAAAAAAAAAAAAAAAAAAAAAAAGAAAAAAAAAAAGCAATTACTTTATCTAATTTCCCAAATAAGACTAAAAACTCAAACTTGTTAAATTTGAGAATTCATTGTGCCATGTAAATACTCAGACATTTTCAGTCCCTCCTAATGAAGTCCTATGTTCAGTGGAGCTCCTACTGAACTTCTGCCCTCTCCAATGTCCCCAGACAAAGGTGACAGCTGTCTGACCAAACAGCTTGCTCAAGCATTCCACAGATGTGGAACAAGTACCAACCACATTTCTTAACATGTTACGTTTTCCTGCACTCCAAACTCTCCTCCTTCTTGTGGAAAAGAAATTACTAGCACTATCTGAAAAAATAAACACAGTTTTGAAAAAATAAACCATACCTTTGTAGGTAAAGGGCAGTTAAATAAAATGCTATCCAAAATTGGCTTCTGTTACACAGAACAATTCTCAGCCACCCTAAGTGCCTCTCTGCGAGTACAACCAGCTCTGGATCTGTCACGTACGTATAAAGCTCTCAAAATAAACCTCATCTTTAATCTCCTTGCTATTTGACATGGGAATATTAGGCAATAGGCAAGCTTCCCATATTTAGCATCATTTCACCCACAAACTTACTCATACTTGGACCAGACAGCTCAGAGCAGCATACTGTGCATGCTTTTGCAAGACATGCACTGTTCAGGGCACAAAGCAGAGGAACTAAGAGATTCCTCCTTGCAAAATGACTTAGTCCTTGACATTTAAAAAGTAATGAGAGACAGACAAGTCCAAATTCCTCTACGGAAGCACCTCTCCCCAGAGCTAGAAAAGTATGAGTGTCTAAGATACAATTCTCAGACACTGATTTTATGAGTCTCACAAGTCCCGCTGACAGCATCTTCCTAACCCACCAAACCACTCCTCCATCTCAGTCTTGGTGGTCTAGAAATACTTAGGAAAAACACCCATGCAGCAGTTTTCAGTGCTGGGCCATAGCTGATCCTGTAGAGATATTACAAGAATGTTTGTGTCTTTTGGCTGTATCTTCCCATTCCAGCTGAGATGAGAAGTTCAGGATGTCTGTGACAAATCCAGCACGTGTCCTGGGGCAGTGATGCTGCAGCAGCCAGGGGACTGGAGCAGCAAGGCCCTGCCAGCTGCCCTGCTCTGTCCCAGCAGCTGCAGGTGGGGGCACCCAGCAGTTCTGTGCTCCAGAACAAACCACGGGACACGGGACAAGCAGTGCTGATCACACTGATCGCTCGGGAAGAGCTCACAAATAACAAGCATATTCAGATGTAAAATTCTGGGAGAAGCTCCCCTCCAAATACTGCAAACACACACATTTCAGAAAAGCTGTGTGTGCTTCCTCTTGCCTGACCCTGCACATCCTGATGCAGGGATCCTCCATAACCTGCAGATAACGCTGGTGAAAGCCACTGCGTCAGACCAGTTCCCCGGGCAGCCTGACAAGCTGGGTGAGCTCTGCTGCCTTTAATTACACCTCGCTGAGCCCATGCAACAGTTAAATGAAGCAACCTAAAACTTTGTGAAAGACCTTGTGCACAGATGCACTTCCACCTGAGCCTTCTACGGTACAGAGGCACTGGAGAACAGAACTGTGTCAGCAGTGCTGCTGTGTGAGCAGCCTTCACACACACCTTCCACAGCACTCACAGGAGCGGCGCTGGAAGCGAGGAGGAATCTCTGAACCAGACCACTGGGATTAGCATGCAGGAAAGACACTGCATAAGGCTATAAACTGTAGTTTACCAAGCCTAAACCTGCCCAAAGCCTACATTTTCATCACTCTTGTTAACACAAAGATGAATAACATATCTTATATGGCTATCTCAAAAGTTACAAGTTAATCACAAGCAGAAGTTTTAAAAGTGGAATACATGTAACCCACCAAACTATGAAAACAATACAATTACAAACCCAAGAAAAACAACTACAGAACTGGAAATAAAGTTTAAATATATTTTTAGTTACAAACCCCTTAGCAGAGGTAAAAACACTTATATGCAATATTTGCTATTTCATTATCTTTATTTGCACACGTTAGGAACAAGCTTCTAAGCAACAGGGACAAACTAAGGAACAATAAGGTGTCATTTTCAAGAGTATTAGGTCCTTTAACTCCAGTTATCCAAAGGGACTACACGTATTCAAAAAGATTTACCCAACAGTAAGACTGAAAAGGGAAAAACGCATCTGAAGATCTCCTAGCTCTAAATCAAGGAAAGCTGCTCCTGGTAACATCTAGATCGCACCGACCTGTTGCTAAAAGCATTCTCGACACTGTTCTGGGAAAGGTGACACGCACAGGCTACCGACACCTCCCGCGGGACACAACTCAACATCTCCTACAAGCCCAGCGTTAAATACTGCGCACAAGGCAACGGAAACGGCGCTACCTTTCCCCTTGCAGGTTTTACTCCCCGGCAAGCACGCAGACCAGACGCCCTTCCAGGAGTACGGCCCGCTGGAGGCGGATCTGCCCGTCATGGGGCGCGGAGGAGCTCATGGCGCGTCCGCGCAGCACAGGCGGGCTGGGGCCGCGGGCCGGGCGGTGACGGCGCCCAAAGCCCCCGCGGCAGCCGGGGGGCCCCGCGCGGCGCCCGGATGTCACCGCCCCGGGCGGGGCCCAGCGCCCCCATGTGCGGCCGCGCTCCGGCCCCGCGCCCCAAAATGGTTCCCCGAGCTTCGCCCGGCACTGCCGGCCCGGGACGGCCCCGCCCCGCCCCGCCCCGCCCCGCCCCGCCCGCCACCGCCTCCGGGGAGGCCGCGGCTCGGCCCCGCCCTTCCCGCGGAACCGGGAGCCGGCCCCGCCCCGCCGTGGCACCGAGATCCGGCCCCGCCCGGCCGGCCCAGCCTCACACGTGCGCACGGAGAAAGCCCGCCGCCTCCCCCGAAATAACTGCTTGAAACAGCTACAGCTTCCATTCAAAACTCTGCTAAGACATGAAAATCACTTCCTACTATTTCAAGGATATTCCTGAGATGAGCATCTTTCACTACGGATCTGCAAAGTCCTATTCAACAGGAATTTTCTCCATTTGTATAAATATTATTCAATTAAGCAAAAGCATAATCTCAAGGAAAAGAGATGACCAACAGAACTAAAACAATGTGGCATATTTGATTATCAACTTGGACTATTAAAAAAACTAGAGCAGGTACAAGGCTAAAGCAGTAGGAAGCCAAGTCAACACGCTTGTGTGATGCACACACTGCTCAGAAAAGCTTAGACATTATGGAACGCTGATTTAATGGTGGTAAGATCACAGAAGTAACAAATTTCAGTGGAGGCAACAGAACAAACACACGGAGATAAACTGTTGTGGTCACATAAAAAGTATGGCTACAAAATCTGAGTAAAGATAATTATCTTCAAAAATGCTTTCCTACTATTTGAAATCCAAGTCCTTTTCCTCAAGACTTTTATCAGCACTGCAAATAATGCCAATTGCTACAAAGAAAACCTGCCCACTCGATACAAGGCTTCCTTCAGTCTCACCCGCAAACCTGCAATATACTGCTTCCCATCGGGTAAGAGTCAAGAAAGATGACAAGCAGAACAGAAAAGCTGAAGTAAAACTGCATAGAAACAGCTTTTGAGGAACCAAGAGCATGTGGCGAGGAGCCACCCCTCGTGTGGCAGCGCCCCAGAGCACAGCCAGCGGCCCTGGCCGGGCTGCAGCTGCCCCGAGCTTGGCTGCCTGCACTGGGCCTGGGGCAAAGGCTCTGGGACCCGGACACACAACCAAAATCCTGCGGGAATGGGAAGCACAACCAAACCACTGGTTAGAAAGCTCTGCTGAGACATAGGTGCACAGAAAGTAGTTTGAAAAAGCTGAAAAAGATCGTGTGCCTCATGTGCCAGGGAGTTATCAATGATAACCAGGACTGGACTGATACTCTTCCACCTTCTCAAGCTGTTAGCTCCAGACATTCTAAAAATCACATCTGTGCTTCACTGGAATGCAGGGCACCTTTGACAAATTCAACTTAGCATCATCCACTTCTCTCACATCAAATAGCACATCTTCTCTCATATCCTCACACATATCACCTATATTAGACATAAGTTTAGCATTTTGGCTAGCTTTTGAAAGCGTAACTGAATATTAGTTTGGGGAAAAACACACACAAAAGTTCTGTATAGTCATCTTAATGGCTGGAAGGGAGAAAGTCTCATAGAAGAGTAATAAAAGGACAGAAAAAAATTTATCACAGTTGTCTGTATGTGATGCAACAACATATTTTTTTCTATAACACTTCAAAACTAACTCCATTCAGGAACTCCCATTCAAAGTGCACACTTAATGCATTACAGCCACCAACAAAGTGATAGAAAATCTTTCACCTTTTTCAACAGTACATTCATATTTGAGAATAAGACTTTTTTACACATACTTTTTTACCATACTGCTAGAGAGCACTGGAAATGAGAATAGGATGAAGTTGTGAAAAACACTCACAAGTTACTTTTTTCAAGACATAACACAAGCCAAAGAATGTCAAAACCCAAAAGCTAAATGAAAGGTTGAAAATACTCATTAAACATAAAACATAGCAGAGAAAATATTGTCAATATTTTTTAAGAAACTAGTATTTTTATTTTATTTAATTTCAAAGACATTGTAGGGCCCAATGCTTTCCCTTTTGCAGTGTATCAGTTTCTCTTTCCCAGCTCTCAGGAGATGTTGGATCCCAAGGGCCTGGCATGGTCAGGATCAAATGCAGGCTGGACAGATGTGCACCCCTGCTCAGACCCCGCCTCTGGACCTGCTGCCCTACTTCAGAATTTTTAAACGACAGTTCATGACATAAATTATTAATCAACTATATAATACAATTTAGTCTCTATACATTCTGGTTTTGACTAATGAATTAGGATTTTTTTCAACCCTTGCAGACACTTTTCTTTGGTGCCCTTAACTATGCTATTTGTTATTTCAGACACCTCAGGGCTTCTCTTTTCCTGCATAACAAGCAAAAGCTAGATCAGTCCAATGTCACTGACAATTATAAAATGAGACCAAAAGAAACAAAATTGAGTCAAGACTTGATGATTTCCTTTGCCAAAATATCATCTGTCCAGTTCATCTCTTTTTCATACACAATTAGACCATTTCCCTCTAACTTACAGTGACCCGGTCTGCCTGAAACTGCAGGCAGCTTTTTCCTTGCACCTCAAGACATTCCCTACCAACCCCATTTTCCAACCACCAGGAAGGGAAATCCCACCAGATTTATAGAACCATGGAATTGTCTTTGTGGCCAGCACCGCAGTGAGTCCCCAGTCCCTGACACCCCACGTTCCTGGTGTGTCCCACAGCGCTCCCTCACGATCCCCAGTGGAGCCACGGCAGTGCCTGTCCTGCCCCTCCCCGAGCTCAGCACACCCCCGTGGCAGATGCAGACACAAACACAGCCATGGAAACACCAACAGCATTGTGACACCCTCCAAACCAGTGACCTATTTCTAACTCAGTGCAAACACCTGACTTAGGTCAGTGCTGTTTGACTTCTGCCTCACTGCTGTTGCTCACCATTTCTCCTTGGAGATATGCTGGAATATTCAGCATCAGCCCAGGAGAGGTTTCTCCCTAGCTCTTAAACATTTTCTTTCCAACAACTTTATAAGGTAAAATTAGGAAGGAACTGTATGCTGTAGAAGACATAGAATGACCACATCAGAATCACAGTAACTAACTACTATGACTGAAGTGCTCAATTTTAAATGCAACAAAGAACTTCATCAATTCCAACAAGTGAATAACCTTCTCCATTCAAACAGAGCTTCAACATCCACCTTTGCACAGAACACTGGAGCCCACGCTGCTATGGCACCTCAATCTTGTGAGGGAAGGAAAGCTGAGGAACAATGCTCTGTGAAAAAACCTGATAAACCTCCAAATTTCATTCCGAAATTCACTAGCTAGCAAACTAGCTAATGAAACTATATACAGTTAAACAAAAATACAGGGAAAAACCACTTTCAATACAAATCAAAACCAAACCCCTGCATTAAAAAGATCATGGACCACTTCCACATTGGACTTGACCAAATTTTTCCTTTTTAAAAACAAGCAAATAACTTGTCTTGCTGTGACACTGCCAAATCCCACCCAGCAGAGAGGTATGAAGCTGGTGATAGAGAAACACTGCTCCAGGCTGTGCCCTGCACTGCACCTGGTGGTGCTGTCTGACAAGAGCCCTCTCTTCCCTGCTTCCCCACCTCTGTATCCCCAGTGCAGCCCGTGGCCAGAGCTCTCCTTGCCCCAGAACAGCCAGAGCTGCCCCCAGGGACCCCACAGCCCCATAACCATGGGATGGACCCAACCTGGCACCTGTGCACCAGAGAAACCCAACAGAGCGTGCCTGCCTGCAGCCTGCTGCCTTAAAATAAGGATGGCAGAAACCAGAGAATCTAAGAAACTAAAGAAAACTTCATATGAAAAATACAGATAACTCTATGCAAACTAAGTAACAGGGAAAAGATTTTTATTTTATTTTTAGTAGTATCTAGTTTCTGTTCACTGTGCACAGAACACACTGAATTGAGCTGTGTCAGAATCATCCTTCAACAGTTCAGCCCAGTAATATCTATAAACACAGGGAGACAGCCACCTTTTTAAAAGTTCTGGACATACAATGGTGCAATAGAAAGTAAGGCAGGCACACAAAGATCAGCTACAGAGGGAACTAGTAAGAGCAACAGAAAAGAGGAAAGCCAGGTATTTTTCATGCTCTAACACATACTGCCATTCAGAAGTCTCTAAACAGGAAGCACTCAATTGTTCTACAAGGCATCATAGATGGGCTCTGTATACAATTCCACTCTATTAGAATTTTTTTAAAAAGGAAAGAAAAAAAAATAACCAACCCCCTCTATAAACAGTAACAGCAAATCCTACCATGTGTGACAATTTGGGGGCTGTTTCTTCCCTCAGTCTGATTTTGCAAACCCTACACTCCTCAGTGCATGCTGTAATTGCCTCGCAATATTGCATCACCATGGCTGTGTCTGTGGCAGGCACAGGGAGGAGGGTGTGGCATGGGAGCTCTCACCTGAATCCAGTAAGGCTCAGCTAAAAGGAGCACCTGGACTCTGATGTGCCTTCACTTACCAAGGCCTTCTGAGATAACCATTCCAACTCAAATTCAAAACCTATTTTATGCTCAATATTTTTCCTGCATAACTCAACAGTAGTAGGGAGCAGACCATCAAAATAACTAGACCTAATCAAAGAGACCTACAAATAAAGGCTGCCCTACAGGAGACTGACCCATGACACAGAAAGCCCCTCTGCAGGAAGCCAGGACAGGATGACGTACATTGACTACTTTTATAAAGACGCCTCCATCTTGTTCATTCCTTAGGTTTGTACATACTTCCACTTTAAATAATTATTTCTTCTTGGGATCCTTCACTTGTTCTGTACTCCTGTATGCAGCCCTGGTGACAGTGGAGCCTGTGTAAAGTATGGCAATGTAAACTCGGGAGGGCAAATGTGTAGGGGAGGGCTTGGAGAATGAAGACACTGCAGAGTACAGACCTTGGTGCCTGTGGATCCTACACAAATACATCCAGCACCACAGAACATGCTCTAGTGGCACTGGAAGCCCAACTTTTAACACCTCAGAAATTACTATTTTTTCAGAATCTCTGGTACTAAACTACAGAATCCCTAGTCTGAGTGACACTTT